ACTGATCAAATGTTCAATCAATAGATAAATTTTCTATTATTGCAACGCACTTTGTCTTTTGACTCTCAATAGTTCTGGTTTTCGAAGAAACAGAGATACAGACACAGAGAATTTATTCATGAAAATAAATTTCTTTGCATATATTTTTTAAATATTTAAATATTTTTTCAATATCCAAATATTTAGATGTTTTTCAAATATTCAAATATTTTTTAAATATTCAAATATTTTTTAAATATTCAAATTCACCCACATCGTAAAGGTAATAAAAAGTGAAGAAAGAACTCAGTTAATCAGTTTGTGACTAATTTAACTTCGGCGCTCCTGATATCAAAGCGAGCGGTAAGATTGGCGGCTTTTCTACAGGGGAAACAAATTGGATGGTGGCTACCTCGGGACTTGCTTGAACTGAGGGCTATGGCTTTTTTGAAATTCGGCTGGTTTGTTATTCAGACAGTAACATTAGAAAAAATGGAAGGGAAATCCACTCCAATTTTTGACAAATTTGGAGCAATTGCAAACTGAACCGAGGTATTTTGCTTCTAAATAATGTCCTGAGGTAGCCAAGTTGGTGCTAAATTTGAAGTAAGAAGTTTATTAGCAAATTATTTAATGAGAAATTTGACAAAAATTCCTTTATTATTCTTGTTTCGCTTCTTATCAGCTAACTTCTAATATTTCAATAAAAAGCAATTTCCTTTTACATAATGACTGGAAAATAAAAAAACAAATTTTGCAGATTTCGGCAATGCCGAAAAAGCAACTAACAAGAACCTACTGAATACTATACTAACAAGAAAATACAACTTCTGAACCACCGGAGCAGCACTAGCAGTAGAAAAACCAACAAAGCCATCCCAAGACATGTCGCGATGAGGAAAGTGAATCACAACCGACTCCTTTTACTGACTAATTACATATGTAACAATTACCGACCGCTACTACTAATAAATGATTAAATTTTATTGGCTTCAACAAACGATTTGAAACTAAACCATCACACAAGAAGCAACGAAGTGTGTACATTGTTGTTTTTGCTCCTTCTATTACATTTGTTAGGTTCTCGGAAGGCGGAGGGAAAAGACAGATCGGTATTACTATTAAAAAAGTGTTAATTTACAAATTAAGATCTCATCCCCTCCAACAATATAGAATAGTGCAAATGAAAAGCGGAAATAAACAGCATGATTAAATGAAGATTAAACCTCATTTCTGAGTCTCAAATCAACGTTAGCAAAATCTTCGAGTTTGCAACAATTTCAGAAATTTTATATATAAAATAAAATCAAAGAACCTGCAAACAACGGAAAACTTTCAAACTTGCAGCGTAAACATGGACAGATAAATGTGAACACAATAAAACATCATATCCTTGCAACCATGTCCTCAATAGTGGCAATAACAAATTGACATAACAAACTTAATGCTACAGTCTTAACATATATTGTTTAACATAAATATGCAACAGCTAAAGCATTTATCAAATTATTCAGAGGAGCGAACAGTGATTACATATGCACAAGTGTGAAAGCATCGTTTCTGGATGAAAGGATCGATTGGAGTTCTCATTTTGAGGAATGTTCAGAAATTTCATCCTTTAGCTTTTTATCCTTATTCATCAGAAGTTTTGCCAAGCTTCTCGACCAAATTTTGTGCTCTTTTTGATATAACTTAACATTTTCTTCTTTAATTCGTTCAGCTCTCAACATCAACTCGTATTCTCTTTTGAACTGTTGATATGTATCGTCTGCCGTCTGACTAGAAAAGTGTGATACACTAAACACTATTAACGACAGTGTCAACCTGTAAATAAAGTACCAAATGAAAGGTGGAAAAATTTAGAAATGGATATAATCCAAACTTAAAAAGTGTGAATAACACAAGAGTGGAATCTTGCTTTTTCCCTTCTGGAATCAAAATCAAATCAAAGCCGCCGACGCGATATTATTACTAAAATTAACAAAAAAAAACATATATGAGTGATAAAAATAATACCCGCAGCTTAATCCAAGACTTGCTGCTTGCAGCATTTTTCGCAAACCAAGTGGACATGCAATTAGAGAGGGTACTGAAGCTGAAATAAAAACTATTTCTACATCTTAATTAAAAAAAATCATCTAATGAACTAGTTTTGAAGTTACGTTTTGCATAGCATTAGACAGAGTACGGCTATGCCATTCTCTCATTTAATCCCTCTAATTCTCAGTTAATAATTTGAACGCAAAAAAATATAAAATTTACTTGTTATAACCGGGACAGTCCAAAGTGAGAAATAGCCACGCCATGCTGCAACGTGTGTGATTGCTGCTCTAAAAATGACTATAAAAATATAAATCAGAGTTGAATTTAAAATTTCTAAATTAATGGAAAAATTATTTGAACATTTTGAATGGGTTGACAGTGTACTTACTTCTTCAAAATCATTTAAAATTATTAGTTTGTCATTTTTCCTATTTTTTCCTACTGCTCAACAAAAAGATAATTGCATTTAAACTAAGAAAGATTATATCAGCGATAAGAAAAAAAAACTTACACCATACATCCAACGTATAGTGCTGCCAGAGTACCGTTAATGGCTCCCATACGTAAAAATGATGCGAATGCGTAATCCCATTTACGCCTCTGAAAGTCGTATTACACAAAAGCGAGGCATAATATTCATCATTCAGAAACAGCTAAGCTAGGTTAGACAAGTCTGGCTCAACGTTGCTTCACGAAATTTACATTTTTGCAACATTGATGAGAATTTCTCGTTGCAATCGCTATAAAAATTATTTTTATCGCTCATTTCACAATGAACGCTACACTGTCAATAGATGAATACTAACCAGTGCATCACGTGGGCTAAGAAATATCCGTCCTCTCGCATAACGATTATAACGGTCAGCAGCTCTCTGCCATCCTACAGGGCCTGTGAGGAGTACTGTACCAATAAATGTCCATTCCATACATGGCATCAATATACTCGTTTCAAAATGAATATCTATAACATTAGAAACATAGCAAACTTCAAATCTCCAATCACAAGATACTTCCTCGCCAACCTTTATTAATGTATACATCTTTCAGTCGCTGCCAACCATTATTCTTGGGATCATCCGTAATTTGTTCAATTTCAGTAATAACCTTGTCTTCAACTTCTGAAAATTCCTCACTTTTTTTGAAATTATAAAAAAAAGGTCAAATTTTTGATACAATAAAATTTCTGCTTTTCACGTACTGATTACTGTTACCATCAGCTACATCAAAAAACAGTTTTAAATCTTTGCTTGCTGAGTGGCTCGTGTTTTACTGATGCTTCTTTAACAGGAGTGTGGAATGAAACAACTACGTGTTGGATAACGAAATCTAAACTGTATGCTGCAAATAAATTATAAATTTTACTTTATTTTAATGATTTACCTAGATTTCGTGTGAAAAGCCGCAATAGCTTGTTTGGAATAGAATTGAATTTCGACCAAAGCGTTTCTCTCTCTTCATTTGACATAATCACTGCTCTCTTCCCTCTACTACCTACCCTCCTATCATCGCACTACGTATCGTCAATGAATCGTCCGCACTTGAACATATTCTACACCTAATCAGATGATATATGTGTCTCCGCATTATCATAATATTGCTATCTCATCTTCAATTCAACTTTTGACTAATTTAACAGCAAAACACCATATCCCGACAAATCCACACACACACCCATCTCTCAACCCTTCCCCCCTGTCTCCCGAGAACTTAACTTATCAGCGAATCCCACGAATATCCGAATGTCACTCTGAATGAGTTCCAATGAAAACTTTGGCTCACACTTCACATCTCAAATTGTTTGACCTTCTCCTTGTAAATATAAGTGACATATAAACATATATGGTAAGCAAATAAATACAATTGCTTAACGAATTGCGGAAAATGAGAGAATAACGAGAAGATAGAGTGACCGGCGGAAATATCGATTGATCGGAAGAGTGCAACTGCCAAAAATAAAAGACGACTGTTTTTCGACTGTTTTTCTTCCTTTGCTACTATCATCACTCATTCCGTGTCGGTCATTTATCCGCCTTCCGAGAACCTAACAAATGTAATAGAAGGAGCAAAAACAACAATGTACACACTTCGTTGCTTCTTGTGTGATGGTTTAGTTTCAAATCGTTTGTTGAAGCCAATAAAATTTAATCATTTATTAGTAGTAGCGGTCGGTAATTGTTACATATGTAATTAGTCAGTAAAAGGAGTCGGTTGTGATTCACTTTCCTCATCGCGACATGTCTTGGGATGGCTTTGTTGGTTTTTCTACTGCTAGTGCTGCTCCGGTGGTTCAGAAGTTGTATTTTCTTGTTAGTATAGTATTCAGTAGGTTCTTGTTAGTTGCTTTTTCGGCATTGCCGAAATCTGCAAAATTTGTTTTTTTATTTTCCAGTCATTATGTAAAAGGAAATTGCTTTTTATTGAAATATTAGAAGTTAGCTGATAAGAAGCGAAACAAGAATAATAAAGGAATTTTTGTCAAATTTCTCATTAAATAATTTGCTAATAAACTTCTTACTTCAAATTTAGCACCAACTTGGCTACCTCAGGACATTATTTAGAAGCAAAATACCTCGGTTCAGTTTGCAATTGCTCCAAATTTGTCAAAAATTGGAGTGGATTTCCCTTCCATTTTTTCTAATGTTACTGTCTGAATAACAAACCAGCCGAATTTCAAAAAAGCCATAGCCCTCAGTTCAAGCAAGTCCCGAGGTAGCCACCATCCAATTTGTTTCCCCTGTAGAAAAGCCGCCAATCTTACCGCTCGCTTTGATATCAGGAGCGCCGAAGTTAAATTAGTCACAAACTGATTAACTGAGTTCTTTCTTCACTTTTTATTACCTTTACGATGTGGGTGAATTTGAATATTTAAAAAATATTTGAATATTTAAAAAATATTTGAATATTTGAAAAACATCTAAATATTTGGATATTGAAAAAATATTTAAATATTTAAAAAATATATGCAAAGAAATTTATTTTCATGAATAAATTCTCTGTGTCTGTATCTCTGTTTCTTCGAAAACCAGAACTATTGAGAGTCAAAAGACAAAGTGCGTTGCAATAATAGAAAATTTATCTATTGATTGAACATTTGATCAGT